GACTGGGTTTACCTTCAGGAAGAGCCAAGTTTGAGCAGCTGGCTGTTGACAAGCCGATTAGAGTTTGAAGGTGCGTCATTCAAAGGTGCTGGTTAGCGTGTTCTAAAACTAGTGTAGACAGGGCCCTGTCGATTTTAACATGCTCTAAACGGGTGGAGCTGAATTCTAGGGTATAGGCTTGGGTTCCTCTCTACCAATTAACTCACATTAAAGTTTATGCTGTCTCTTCTGCTCTAGATTTATAGAATATGTCCGCTAACATGTCTAACTCCCTGCTTTTAAATCCGAGTCCAGCTGAACTCTTAGACAAGGGCAAGGCTGGGTTTGCACCAATTTGGTGTTTACCCCTTTTTCAAACAGGAATAAACGGATTAGCGCAACAGGTGTAGTATCTCCAGCTTACCTTTTTCAACCTTTAAGGCTCAGGTCTGGTGCAGCTATGCCAATTGCTGCTAATTAGCAATTCCCCTGGTGCAGACAAGGTGCAGAGGTAGCAAGAGACTGGCTCAAGGCCCAAGCCTGGCTGCCCGTGTCCAGGATAATGTGGAGGAGTCGCTGTATTCAATGTGCTCTGTTGAGTCTCTGCTGAAAATTTAAAGCGCTGTGGGAAATGATACCTCCATTCTTTTGTTGTATGGACAAATGCCTGGATCTCATGTCTTCTGCCCTGTCTCTCCCCCCTCCCCACCCACCCGCCATGCTTCCTAATGTCTCCTGGACTGGCCTATGTTGAGCACACCCTGATACCATGGAGTGACAGAAGGTGTAAACATGCCAGCTGTGGCTAACTATGTGGAATGTTTTCATATTCTCTCCGTGGGGGTGATAGCTCCGAGGCAGTCTGCAAAGGGAAAGGAAGTCTTGCATTCTCAGTCTGGAAGTGCTATTGTTTGCGGGGTGAGCGGGGCACAACTGAGGCCTTGTCTATGCTGTAATTGCTTTACTGGCATAGCTATATTGAGGGAGCCCCTAGTGTGGATGTAATGGATGGTAAGAGAAGGGGGTTTTCTGCCAGTGTCAGATCACAGCCTCTCCAAATGACATTAGCTATGACAGCAGCAGCTCTCTTCTCTGCTGGCGTAGCTGTGTCCAGGCTGAGGGTTTTGCCGATATAGCTATGTCGGCTGGGGGGAGTGTTTTTTTCATACCCCCAACTGATGTAGTTACACTATAGAACTTAGTAGTGTAGACATGGCCTAAGCGTCTTCTGATGCTGGACTGCCTAGAATGGAGTCAGAGGCAATCTCCTGGTTAGGTGAGTAAAGAATTCATATGACTCAAACCATCTCAGCTTTTGCTAGTTGGGAGGTACCTTGTGGGAAGAGAGTTTAGGCTCGGCTGTTCAAAGGTGCCTTAAGGGAGGTAAATGCCCAAGTTCCCTTGAAATTCAAAGGGAGTTGGGTGGCTGATTGTCCTTGGAAAGTCTCCTCCCTAGTCTCATGGCAGTTCCTAGTGGACAGGAGTCCTCTTCAGTTAGCAGCTTCCCTGCCCATCTCCAAGGGGATTGCTCCAAGCTAGGCTGGAAATCATTCCTGGGCAGCTTGCACTTCCAGGCTAGGTGGAGCAGTCAAGGGCCAGGCCTATACGCCACAAACATGGTATTCACATGGAAAATATTTAATTAAAAATAATCAACCCAGACTCTTAACAAAGAGAGGGAATGCAACACCACACACACATCCAGGAGTTAAAATAGCACCGGTCACATTGGGAAGGCACCTAAAAACAATCTGAGTAGGATAAGTCCACTCTGCATATAAATAAGAAGGACTTTAAATGTTTATGGTTCTTGAAGAGGCAAGAGTGTGGCCATTGGTAACTCTATTGTAAACAGCTAATCCTGACCAGTGTGATATTTTAAAAAGGAGTAATAGAAAACTGTCCTTTGTCTGGCTGGGATTCAGGAAAATTTGCACCATACATATTTTTAAAGCTGCTTCTGTGCTGTAGAAAGTCACTGAACTAAGTGAGGAATGTAATAGCACCCTACAAATATTGCAAAGAAAGCTGGGAAAAATCCACACTGCGTGACTCCCGTTGGGCAGGGAGGGGTCATGTACCGGGGGTCATGGGAGCTGGTGGGATTCACAAATGTCTGGAAACTTTCCAGATCTCTTGCCAACGCACAGAACCTGCTGCTGGTTTTCCTCCTTCCTTGTCATTCCTTTTTCCGGGGTTCACGTCACATCACAGGCTTCACAAATTCACATTGAAAATAATTTGTTGCAAAAGTGGGTCACATGCCCCACGTCCATATTGCAGACATCACCACCAGGGGGATGCACAAGTCCCATGCCCAGAGCTGGTTGCTGTGACCCCGGGAATGGCAGTGTTCCCCCCTCCAGCCCTGGTAGCAGTGACATGTGAACTCTTGTCTCATCCTGTCCCTCTGCTGGGTGGTGAGGGCTCCTTTCACGGACACGCGTGGTCCATGGGCGGCTTTGTCCACTCGGATCTGGAAGGAGCTCGCGTCCAGGTGCAGGTAGCTGTCCAAATCCATCTTTCTGCGAAGGCAGCGGCCATGGTTGTTGCAGACAAACTGGCTGCAGAGTTTGGTTGCCGTGGTCACATTGACGATGTAAGGGCCTAAGGTGCCAGTCAGGTATTTCTGGATCTTTACACAGTTGGGCTGGAGAAGGAAAATTAAAGCAGTTACGCACCAGAGCCAAGCTGTGCTATGCTAGATTCCAAGGCCAAAAGAGACCATTGTGATCAGCTGGTCTGACCACCCATGTAACACAGGCCATAGAACTTCCCTGAATTAGCTTTTGGACTTGAAGCAAGAATTATGAGTGAACTAGACCAGATCTTCTAGAAAAAGCATCCTGGCTTGACTTTAAAACTTCCAGTGCTGGAGAATCCACCACAACCTTTGATATGTTTAATTACCCTCCTATTAAAAAATAGTGCCTTATTTCTAGTCTGAATTTATCTGGCATCAATTTTTAGCCATTGGATCTTATCACTTTGTCTGCTATGTTGAAGAATCCTTTATCATCAAATTTCTGTTGCCCATGTAGGTACTTATAAACTGTGATCAAGTCATTCCTTAACCTTCTCTGTGATGAGGTAAATACAGACTCCAGGAGCTCAGTCACTAAAAGGCATATTTTCCACTCCTGCTATCATTCTTGCAGCTCTTCTCTAAACCTTTTCCAATTCACCAACATCTGGCTTGAATTCAGGAGACTAGAACAGGGCACAGGATTCCAGTAGCTGTCCCACTGAAATTACTTCATTGCCAAATAGAAAGGTAATATAACCTCCTATTCCTAACCCTTCATCAGTGATTATTTTGTTTTCTTCCAGGTCATTGATAAAAATATTAAATGGTGTAGGGCCAAGAACCACTCTCCGCAGGACCTCACTACAAACATACCTGCTTGATGATAATTACATTTTGGAACTTGGGAATCAACAGCCATGCAGCTTTTAATCCATGTAACATGTGCCATGCTGATTTTGTATCATTCTAATTTCTTAATCAAAATACTATGTGGTACCACGTCAAATTCCTTACAGAAGTCTAAGTATAGAACATCAACTCTATTTATCAGCCAAACTTGTAATTCAGTATCAAGTTAATATCCAGTTAGTATGACAAGAGCCATTTTCCATAAACCATGTTGATTGGCAGTGGTTATATTACCCTCCTTTAAATTATCTGAGTCCCTTATCAGCCGTTCCAGTATTTTGGTTGGGATCAAATTCAGGGTGACAGGCCTATAATTACTTGGGTCATCTTGTTTTACCCTGAAACACAGAAACAATGTTAGCTTCCGTCCAGTCTTCTGGAACTTCTCCGGTATTCTAAGAGTTATTAAAAATCAACATTAAGGGTCCAGAAAGATCCTGGGCCAGTTCTTTTAAAAATATTGGGTGCAAATGGACTGGGCCTGCTGATTTTAAAGATGTCTAGCTTTAGGAGCTGCTGTTTAATAGCCTTCTTCGTTTGGAATGGAAAGTATTCCATAATCATCTGATATCAATACATCCTCTGGCTTTTTCTCAAATACAGAACAGACATATTTTTGCATAGTTGTGCCTTTTCTGCATTATTATTGACAATTCTATCATTTCCACCTAGTAATAGCTGAATACCATTGTCAAGATTTTTGTTCCTGATATATTTAAAAATCTCCTTACTGTCCTTAACTCTACTGGCGATAGATTTCCTCTCATGTTTTTTTGCTTCCCTTATCAATTTTCTAAAATGTCTGGCTTCTAATTTACATTAATTGCTATGAACATCCTTCTTTTTTTCTATTTGCTATATTAGATCTCTCTTTTTTTTTAAAGCAGTGTATCCTCTCAATTGTGGGATTGAGTAATCCCATTTGAAAAATGTAAATTACTTTTAATCTGTCTCTCCCCTGGGTTGTTGTTGTTAGTCTGCTAGTAGTACCTAAAAGACCTCAGCTGGGATCAGGAGCCCATAGAGGCTGCAGCTGGGATCTCTTGTTGCTACTGGAAGATTAACATCCTCCTTAATAGTTTATTAAACAGCAACTATTAAAGTTAGACATCTTTAAACCAGCAGCTCTTGATCATTTGCATCCATTGTTGATTTTTAATAAATCTTGGAACAGGGGCCAAGCTCCACGGGACTGGAAGAAAGCTACTGTTGTGTCTGTATTTAAGAAGGGTTAATTGGATGATCTGAGTTAGTGTAGTCCTGTCAGTATACACTTTGATCC